AAAAAAAAAAAAAAAAACACTTACACAATGAAACAAATGCATATAGAAAGAAAACAGGGTAGGAAAAATGAGCCCAAAGTGTACTGATTTATTTTTTAAACTAGAGGGAGGAGGGAGTTTTTAAAATGTGCTTATGTATGTAACCGTAAAAGGCATGAAGACGGTCTTCACAATTTTCCATCTTGTCACATCACAATTTCATTCTCTAGGGATTCAGCTTGACTCTTCAGTCACTATGGCTATGGTTTCCATGAGCAACTAAAGTAAGGAACAATTTCAAAAGGGGGACATTTTAGGGTGCTCCTGGATACCAATAATTTCCCAACAGAGTAAGTGACACATACGGATCCACAACCAAAAAGATGGCCAACCACACCGGGTAGGTGAAGGTGTGTCAAGAAATAAACGGTTCAAAAAAAAAAAAAGAAGTACACAATTATTTCCCCAAAATCTAGCAGCGACATATAAAAACATAGAATTGTAACATCAAAATCTCAGATGCAACCAATTGCTTACCCCCAACAGACAGTAAAGAGACAGTCTCATATACGGCCAGCCAGAATGGTGGGGATTCCTTCTATACCCAAATAGCATTGCAAAGCTCTCCTTATGTATGAATGTGCATCAGTTAACTAAAGAAAAAAATAAAAACCCTCACTAAGCGAAGTGAGTGTCAATTTGTTTCAGAACCACAAGTATACCAAGTTGCACAATAAATACTCCTCTTAAAAATTCTCTGTCCAGTCTAAAGCCTGTCTTTCCTGTTACTGCAGTTGCATTGCTTTTTTCTTTAAACTCTAAGTAATGCCTTGGAACACCGCTTGAAGATTCTTTCCTCCTGGTTAGTGGCAATGCAGATTAGCACAGTCTGAGTTTCATCTAAGAATCATTAAGTTAGAGGAAACACATTCACAAATAAAACTTAGACTTGTTTACTTCCCCAAGTGGCTGGGGGAGCCTGTCAACATGAGAAGACTGGAGGGATGTGGCAAGTTCCCCTTGCAAAAATAAAACATATTGACTTACCTTCTCTGCATACTTGAACTTAACATAGAACCAGCTTGACTTGATCATTGTCTCACCTCCTGCCCTCAGAGGAAAAGAAGATGGAAAAAATAAATAAAAAGAGGAAGAAAAAAAACCTCAAACAGTATAATGCTGAAGAAAAAGCTGTGTTTCTGCAAAGTCTTCTTTCAGATGCTGAGTTTTCCAAAAGATGACATGTATTCTAAGACAAGAGGGGCAAAGAGGAAAGAAATAGGAAAATGCAGTATTTCAAACCTGGCCTCCTTCCCCTTTATGTTCCTGCGACACCTTCTCTTGGTGCTTAAAACACTGCATGTGATCTTGCTCCAGAAACCACGCTCCAGGACTGCCTGGCAGAGCTGCTTGCTTCTCCCTCCCTCTGTGTTGCTCTCCTGGCTGGCTGACAAGAGAATTCCTCAAAGGGACTTCAGCTGCCTTCATCACAAAGGGCACATGTGATGTAAAGGGAGGCAGGCCCTAGCCCTCGGACACGCCCTGAAGGACAACCTCCTCCACCGAACCCTACCCCAGCGGGAGGAATAATGAATTCCAGCGCTCCCCCTCAGGACAGATTAACACCTGGCCAGACATTATTCTGACAGGAGCCTGTGTCAACAAAAAGGATTCTGCCACAGCTTTCACACCATGATCCCCAAAACAAGATCAGGAGGTGACCTTTCTCCCTTGCCTACAGAAGATTACAACACTAAAAACAGCCCAGCCTGTTCAGCAAAAAGTGAGTAAGAATCCCATTTTAAATTCTTCAGCCAAAGTAACATGTTTCAACCTCTTGTAGCCAGAGAAAGAGGAACTGGGCCACCTTTCTCTTGCTATTCCTTTTTACTTCTACTAGCTGCCAAAACAGCTCCTGGCATTCAACCTCAACAACTAACAGCTTAGAAAAATGACTGCTATTTTACACATACTTTTTTTTTCAGAAATCTAAAGACAGTGTTTCTGTTTTATTACTATTGACTCATTAAACTTCTCAAGAAATCATAGAATAGAATCATGGCACCCACTTTACAAGACTCAAGAAATGGAAGAAATAGAAATGAGAGATGAAATCTGTTGCATAGCTTTAGCATATGTGAATGTGACATCTATGCATTCTTGCACTAAAGATGATAAGGTAGACACATTCAGGTTTGTGGAAAACCATGATCCTCAAAATATTTAATAATAAAATGGCACAGCTCTTGTCCCTAATTCCCACATTCCTAGCCCAAAGTAATAAATATCTTTTAAGTACAAAATAGTTACAATTCATGGGATTTAAAAATAAATTCTATGGGATGTTATGAAGTACCCCCAAATGCAAAGAGAAAGAGAAACAGGTGAGTTTGAATGTTGGGTATTACCAGTCTCTTTATTTCAAACTGGTTTGAAAAAAAAGAGTTTGAAATATTTTACCACTCAGTTGCTTTGTGCCCACTCATTCCTAAGACTGAATGGAACCATGAAGCCCACATACTGTTCTCATGAGCAACCTCCTCTGCCCATCAGAAAAGTCAAGGTCTACATGGGGGCTCCTCTCCCTTTCACATTTGCAAATGACCAGGAACTTGTGTGGGCATTATTTCATTTCCCTACTTTTTTGTCAGAGAAGCACCAACCTTTCATCCCCACAGACGCTTCATCTGAGGCACATCATGTTTTCCTCAGTCATGGTGTTTGAGGGCATAACGTTTGCTGAGACCTAAATGTCATCTGCTAAATGTCCTCATGGAAAAAGAATATGTTCCCATTTCTGAAGCTGCTATTACATACCATCAGGCTAAGCAGTAGCTTCGTTTTTGCATTCAAAATTTTAGGAGTGATTAACACTGAAAAGCCCTCCTAAAAAAAACTCTACCCCTACATCATAATAATTACTAACTTTTTCATAAAATTATTGAGGAAGCATTTTCCTCTACACCCACCCACCCAAACATTCTAATTCAACAGAGCAGCTACACAAGTGCATAGTAAAACTTCATGTTGAGATTGACAGGAAATGTGTCAAAACTCATCCCCTAAATCCCATGTACAATAAACGATCTCAGCAGATTCTATTTGAGTTACTAAGTGAAGATAAAAATCACTTAAGATGTGGGAAAGAGAGTGAATGGAGTTTGTACCCGAAGGCCTCTAATTTCTCTTAGAAGGATGCCCTATTCTTACAGGCCCCTCTCAGTTCTCTAATCTTTCAGCATCCAGATGCTCTTCTTTCTAGAACACTCTTACATACCCCTATCATGCTAACTCATATTCTTTCATCCTTTAGATTGACACTTAGCTGTCACTTCCTGCAAGAAGTTTTCTTTATCTGCATCGCCAAGCCAGGGTTGGCACATCCCTGTGCTGAAAGTAGAATACTGAAAGTTGCCCCTTCTTAGCACCTATTATACAATGTTCTTTTCCTTCTCTGCAACTCCCTCTGATTTGGAGGCTTCTTGAGAGCAAGTCGCCAGTCTGCCTCACAGACTTGTGAGCTTGGCACAGTGCCTGGATGTAGCTGATGCTCAGTTAGTATTTGTTGGAAGGGATGGAGGGAGGAATGTTTAGATCACATAGCAAGAATGGTGATAAGATAATGAATGTAAAGTCCTTGGAACATTCTCTCTGCCACAGTAAGTTCTTGATAAATGTTCGCTATCATTGTAGCCTGAGTGGGCAGAGTTTGAAATTGCTACCAAGGGGACAAAGAAGGCAACAGGGTAAAATGCATTGATGGGCAACACTGAAAAACCCATCAGATGTTGAGGCCCATGAATCTATAACAATATTCCAGACAGAGTTTTAAGTATTTCAAGTTGCACACAGAAGCTCAACAGAGGGCAGACAGCTGATGTGCTGCTAGAGGAAATAGGCAGGATAAGAATGTCCAGGATCCAAGGGGTGGGAAAGCTTTCCATGTAATGCAGGCTGGCTGAGGAAGGAGGGAGGCTGCAGGACTTGGAATCTGAGGGAATAGTGGGGTGTACAGGGCTTCACAGGACAGAAGGAGTGGGGAGGGTGACCAATGACCAACTATACTTAAAGACATGACAGTAACACATTCTGTCTTTGGGACAGATTATACAAGATTGGATTTTTTTTTGAAGGTCGTTCATTTCCTTGTGATTTTCCCCCTTTCTCATAAATCCAAATATTCATGGAGAAGTGGGGGAAATAAGATAGTGAAAGATTCCCAAAGCTAAAATTTGGGTAATCAAGTAGACTCATTAACAGGCTCAGTTAATCTTCTAATTGTGGAGGACTTGAAAAGCTCGTGAAAACCAATAGTGTCTGACTTTTAGCATGAAGCCCTTTTTAAGCAAGAAAAGAACTCAAATGATAACATCAGTTGGATTTTAGCAGGCATTCACTGATTGAAGAAACACAAAAATAAGAATTTAATGTTTTAGTAAATTTCTATTTTATTAACTAACCCTATTAGAAACACCTAGAAATACTGGGCCCACAAAAGCATAGCACATGTGACCTATTCAGTGTTCTGATAAAGACTGTACCTCCCAGGCTGTGAACTGATCTGGATCAAATGCCACAGCGATGAAAGAAGTGAAGCCGAGAGAGGTGAGGTGACTGCATCAATGTCCCACAGCTGGTCTGTGGCTGAGTTGGGTCTATGAAACTTTCTGGCTCTTTAGCATCATGCTACTGCATATAAGAGTACCCCCTGAGAATCCTAGAAAGACTGTGATTGCAGTATACATTTCATGTAAGGTAATATGATGTGGAACAGTTAGAATAATAGCAGAATACAAATTCTCTTGGAGCCAAATGAAGATAAAATAAAATATTCTTTGTCCCCCTTAAATATCTAATATTTGCATGAATATAGAGCTTTGCTGAATAGAAGGCTAAGAAGAAAATTAAGTTCAATTCAAGAGGTAGATTTTGATTGTGCTTTATTTCAAGTACCTTAAAAGATGGTTAGGACAAGAATTGGGGCAGGCAGGGGGGAAAGGCTACTTTCCTGAAGAGTGTGTAACTGATCACACACACAGCTCTGGAGACTGAGGATCTCAGCTCCAGTCAAAACTTAACCTAAAATGGGGGTTCTTGTAAGAATTAAATGAGCACATAGTTTTAAAGCAGTTGGCAGAGTCCAGGCTCCCAATCAAGCTTGATGAAAGATAAAGGGAGTATCACCTTCAATTCTATTACAACCTCTTAACCTTTGCTTAAGAGCTGCAGTTAGTTGGAAACACAACCAAAACACCACTTCTTAGACTTCAAGTCAGAAACTTCTCCTGCTACAACAAAGTCTTAATCATGCCCTGATTATGTCCAAAGGCTGACCTGCCATAAAGAAGGGAGAACGAAGACCAGAGAAGACTCCATTAAGTCTACCTCGCTCCCTGGTAAACTTAAATGGTGAAAGATGCCAAGATTTTTGAGCTTCAAGTATGTTATTTCTGATAATAGGGATGCATTCTCTAATAAGAATACGACTGCCCTTAATGTTTTCTGGAGAATTAAAAGTTCACAAAAACATATACTGAGAAATAACAAACTGGTAATTGAGCCGTTTTAATAATTCTAACCACAACCCAGACAAACTTCTGCAGCAACTTATTTTCATTTCCTGGCATAAGCCCCTTCTCCTTCCAACTCCCACCCACCTTTTTTGTTTTGTTTTAAACAGACAGTTTATTGTTAAAATGGGATGATCTATGTGGAGGAGTTGCTTCAGCGGCACTAAAAGAATTCTATTTCCATTGCAGCTGCACTTGGAACACACCATATCCTCTGGCAGAGCATCTGAACGCTTGTTAAGAGAGACTGAAGAGGTATGATGGGCTCTCAAGGACTTTGCCTGTTCTCAGCAAACATGGCTTGTCACAGCTCTTATAAACCTTCTAGATTCATTCATCTGTCAAAAACCACAGGGGTCTTCCAACCTCCATACGTGGTGGTGCTTCCTCTGCTGGAAGCAGCTTTTCATCGCCTTCAACCCTTCTAGTCCTTGCCCAACTAAGCACATGCATTCATGCATATGCTTTGCATGCCAATGCACGTGATTCTCACATACATACACACACACACACACACACACACCCCTACTTCTACCTCTGTTTAACTCAGAGTTCTCAAGAGTTCTCATCTCAGACCTGAACTCTTCACAAAAGCTTCCCTTGACCCTCCAAGAAAGACTTTGCAAATGAAACTGTTCAAAAGTTCATCTTAACTGTAAAGCTTAAAATAGCTTGATGCAAGCTACAAAGAGATAGAGCTGAACTGTAAACAGAAAGATTTTTATTCTACACTATGCTATTCAGCAGAAATGAAAGCCACATATTCTTTCCTACTCATTACATTCCATGATAAATGTGTTATTCCTTAAACCCTAGGGGGAGGGAGAAGTGCACATCAGCTGAGCATTTCAGGAAGCAGAAATCATGCCTGTTGTCTGCATCTGACCTCTTCTCTGCTCCTGAGAGACACAGGGCCTAGCAGGAAAAAAGCCAAGGACCACTGCCAAGAACAGACTCAAATAGCACCACTCCAAGCTATGCTGTGTCCACAGACCATGAGGGAAGCAGGCCAAAGGTCTCAAGGGATGCCAAGCTGTCCTGTAGAAAGATTGAAGGATGAGAACAGTCTCCACAAGTGTTGGCTTCAGGGCTCCTTGCCCCTCTAAAGTGTCCGCTCCTGGATAATGTCCCCCCTTGTCATGATCAAGCTATCCTAGAAACAGACACATGAACAATGGCCTACTATGCACTGAAGTATGAAACACAATGCTCAATTTTTGAACCAATTATACCTTCATAGAAGTGATTTTTTATACTTACTATTCCTTGAGGTTGTATGAGTTTATTTTTCCTTGTATCTTTCCAAAAAGCTCTCAGAAAGGTCAAACTATTTAAGACTGGGTTAAAGGGAAAAAAGAAAAATCCTTTTTTGAAAAGAAGAGCTGCACATATTTACAACATGGGCTCTGTCTAAACCCACAATAGATTAAGGAACATTCTATTTATTCATTTTTCTACTATAGAAACATATCCAATTGGAATAAGCTAGCCAAATAAATTGACTCTCTCTGACATTAAGGGCCACAGAAAACATATCAGAAGCTGTCTATATTTTCATTGCTATAAAAGAAAAAATGACAGATGCCCATACAGAAGGAACAGGTATATATTCAAAGAAAATCACCTGAATATACTGAGATTACAACTAAGAACAGGATCAGTGTGGAAGAGATTTTTCTAAAAGATTCCTTAGATACACTAAGATTTATTTTGAAATACAAAATTTCTAAGCTACGACCCAATCTTACCTTTTGTTTATATCTAAAATGTCTGTTTAAAAAACATTCAATGCCAAGAGACGAAGGCGGCATGTTTCCTTTTGATTTCATAACTTGATGGGAGGGTACATATTTCACATAAGCCATGTTCCAGATTTCTGATTACATGTTCCAGCAAATCACACCAACAGGATCAAATTCTTTCCAGTCATATTAGAGCACTTTTTAGAAACACTGGGAAGCAAGCACAAAATTTAAAAGATTCTACAAAAACAATGCAGCATCTGACATACAAAAAGAGATACTAATAGTACTTACTGAGGACTCAGCACATGCACAGAGAGCCCTAACCATGTTTCTTGATGAATGCAGAAAGAACTACACACACACAAAACAATCTCTTTCTGAAATGACGAGGCACTCTGATTAAGGAGACTAATGATACATGTAAGAAATGACTTTTGGCCTCCTATTACAAAACAACAAATCCCAAAAGTGCAAATCAATACACCACACACAGAAATTGATGAGTATCTAGAAGGCAATAACAGAGGGATTAGAGGTAGATGAGCAAGACTTGTTGTGAAAAAGGAACTTTGAAAAAAACACAAAAGCTGATTTGGTCAAGGAAAGTAATAAGACATTCCAGATAGATGGAAAACACACAGGCAAAAGATAAGAAAACTGCAGTTGTGCTCTTTCCATCAATGTAAATTTCATGGATTAACTATGCTCATGTTCACCTCACCTCTGTATCAAATGTCTTTGAAAAATGACTAATTTTTAAGTTTGGCATTTATAAAAACTTATTATTAAACTTTTTAAACATTATAAAAACTTATATATTAAAAAATATGTGCATTACATATTTCTATATAACTCTACTCATATACCTACTTCTTCTACACAAGGAATTACATAGATAAATGGCAGTCAATTTATTTTAACTAGTTTTGCAATACAAATTCAAATTGGTTATAATTACAGCTTCTTTTTTAAAATGAGGTTTTGTTCTTTAATATTCATTGACTACTAGCTTGCTTCTCACACACATTATTTACCCTATAGCAGCTTGGTGCATCAATTATGGTAATAGTTTGTGAATGACATTCACATTATGGAAAAATGAGCCTGGTTACCTAGCTATCCCTCTGGAAAATTGTCACAAACATATGCATCATAGCTGTATGCATAATTATAGTTGTATATACTTTTTTAAAGCAAAGCTGTATATACTTTTTTAAAGCAAAGGGAGAAAATAGATCTGAAATGTCATTATTTCCAAATGTTCTTAGGATGTTGTCTAAAAGTATTTTGTTTGAACTGTATCTGATAAAAGAAAAAATGCATTTTGACAAAATGAAAAATCATCACTAATAGCACACTTAACTAAGGAAAAAAGACAACGCATATCACAAATGACATCACCTATTAAACAATTCTCTCCTTACAACAGACTAAAATGTATAAGCCACGGGGTGGTGGGAGGGCTAACTACAATGCTGTGAAGCAAGACAGATTCAAGATGCAAGACAGAAGCTGTGATTCAAATCCTATCTTACTCTAACTCAGTTAAACAGTTATTTATTGAGTACCTACAATGTACCAGACATAGTACTTTGTTCTGTAGAAACCTAAATAAACAATATGAAATACTCTTTCTCAGGAAGGCTACCTTGTAGTAAGGGAAGTAGAAACATAGATCAATAAAATTTTGTAACAAAGTGTAGAGATTTAAAAAAGATTTTGAAGATACAGAAATAGTTCAGAGAATTATTTCTTTGGGAGAGAAAAGAGGTAAAAGCTTTACCAAAGCACAAACTGCTGAGGTGCACTGATGGAATGACACAAGTTCATGATTTCCAAGGAAGAGTAATCCCAGGTGACAAGGCCCAAGATGTAAACAGGAGAATGCAAAGTTAGGAGGAAGTGGAGGTGAGAGGCAGGGCTGAGGAGGTCAAAGACCTGGGAATGTGAGAAATCTAGGATGAGGGATTATAAGAAGCGGCCTGCAGTTCCCTTTACATAAGTGGAATGTGAAGGTTTACAATTCTGTCGAGGATAGCTCCAGTATACATGTCAGAGAGGAATCTAGGATGTGGCCTCTACAAACATCATTTGCCATGGTAAATATCCCAGCCTTCTTCTTCCCAAAGCCAAAGGAGGAAGGCTATCAAAAAGCAATCCAGTTATACTGCCTATCTATAGAGAACCAATTCCTCTTCCAGAAACTCCTTACAGAAGATCCTACGCAGTGGTTCTTCATGGGGCCACCAGATCAGCAGCAGCATCTGAGAATTTGTTAAATGTAAATTCTCAGGCACTCCCCAAACCTACTGAATCAGAAACCATGGTGGGAGGTGTGGGGCCCAGAAATCCTTTCAGTGAGCCTTCTAGATGATTCTACTGCAGGTTGAAGTCTGAGAATTATGGATCTAGTGTGATCTCCCAGTTACAGAGTGAAGGAAACTGAGGCCCAGAAGGAAGGCCACAAGGTGACCTGATTTCAGAGTCAAGACTAGCCAGCCTCCCACTAGGCCTCTTCTCCACACTGACTGGCCTGTGTAGACAACTAAGCAATGGGCGTGCCCTGGATGCATGCTTTCATCTCTGTCCCTCTACCCCAATGTAGCTCTGATGGAGGTGGTTGCTGGTAATCAGGGCACATGAGAGAGGCCAAGCCTCCTACAGCTCAGTTACCATGTAGTGGCACTAGAAGCAAGCACTGATTAATCTTCTAGAACACAAGTCCTCTACCATTTTCAGTGAAGAGCCAGATAAGTAAACAACTTCAGGCTTTGCAGGCCATACTATCTCTGTTGCAATTATACAACTCTGCCATTATAGCTTAGGAGCAGCAACCAAAAATACAAAAACAAAGGAGAGTAGCTATGTTCCAAATGAAGATTAATTTACAAAAACAGGCATCAGGTCAGATTTGGCCAGCAGGCCGTAGTTTGTCAGTTCCTATTGTAGAAGATGGCTGGCATAGAACAGGTATTTTATAAATACCTAGTTGAATGAAAACATACATAAAAGAGGGGAGGGGGCTAGTTGCCACAGTGTCCTATATTTCACTGTCTCCTGTCAATCATCATCTTTCTTTTTTAGTACCTCATCATCATCAGGACTATTACCTGCACCTATTTGTATAGGCTGTGCCTGCAGAAGAATAAAGAATGGAGCTGGGGCTAAAACACAGCCCTTGCCCACTTGCCAAGCCATGTGCCAAACACAGGGCTGCTTTGCCAGGAGAAAGTGAAAATTTCTGTGATGTGCATAAAGACACAGGCTTCTCACCTAACTATGTGCCCTTGGAGCTGAATCCACACAGAGAGGGTGGTTAGCTAATTTATTATACACAAACATCCTCTGTCTCCTACCCATGTTTTCACTCTTGTCTTCAGCTAGACCCTGAGATGTCCATGAACAACTATTGGACACTTCTACTAGTTGTTCTCCAGACCAGGAACAATCACCACATAATTTGGCAATAAACACTTATCAATATAAAAAAATGAGCATATTCTCCTGAAAGTGTGCAATTATATATATTATAAAATATAGCTCAAAATGAGAGGAGCCAAGATGGCGGGGTGAGTAGAATGGTGGAAATCTCCTCCCAAAACCATATATAGTTTTGAAAATACAACAAATACACCTATGCCTAAAAGAGAGAAAATAAGATACAGTACAACAGCCAGGCTACATCTACATCTGCAAGAACTCAGCATTTCACGAAAAGGGTAAGATACAAAGCCGTGACCCGGCGGGACCCGAACACTCCCTGCACTCCAGCTCACCAGCGGGAAGAAAGGAGTCACACTGAGGAGGGAGTGGAAGCATAGGGCTGCTAAATAACCAGCCCTAGTAATCTGCACCGGGAGCACAGACACACATTGCATGGTGTGCTGGCTATTAGGGAAACAGAAGGGAAGGGTCAGAGAAAGAGACTGCGAGCAGATCCCCACAGCCAGCTCCCCTGGGACAAAAGAAAAGCTAGTGCTTTTTGAAAGTCTTAAAGGGACAGGGGCTTCACAGCTGGATGGAATCATCCCGGCACACTCAGCCAGCAGAATATATGTTTTAATTATATTCTGCTGGCTGGGAATCCTGAGGAACTTCAGGTGCCTTAACCCCAAAGGTGGCAATGCAGCTCTGGAGCCCCTCACAGAAATAAACAGCCTGCAGTTTGTTCTCCCCAGCAGGTGCTGCCCTGCCACACTGGCCAAGCAAACAGACAGCAGCTCCGCCCACACCAACCACGCAGAGTGTCCTCCCTGCACACAACTAAACCGGGACAGGCCCAGAGGCTGCCGCCAGCACACAGCTGCCTGGCATAGACAGAGGAAGCCGGGGCAAGGCAGGAACGGCACAAGGGGGCACCGTTCTCGCAGGAGAACACACCCGGTGCACCTGTCACTCCCTGCAGGGTTATGGGCTACCCCAAGGGCTGCAACGCCAATGACAGTTCAGAGGCTTAATTAACCCAGAGGCTGCTCCCGGTGTGCAGCTAACACACACAGGCAGTGGAGAACAGCAAAGCAACTAGCAAACAAAACTGATTGTGTTCTCCCAGCTGACACATGTGCCACCTGTCTAAGACTACCTTTATTGCCCTGAAAAGGCAGAAGAATCTGGACCAGTCAAGAAACACCCAGACAACACCCGAGAGAGGGCCTGGGGAGATAGATATAACCAATCTTCCTGAAAAATAATTCAAAATAAAGGTCATAACCATGCTGATGGACCTGCAGAGAAATATGTAAGAGCTAAGGGATGAAGTCAGGAGGGATATTACAGAAATGAAACAAACTCTAGAAGGATTTAAGAGCAGACTGGAGGAGGTGCAAAAGACTGTTCATGGAATAGAAATCATAGAACAGGAATACAGAGAAGCTGAGGCAGAGAGAGATAAAAGGATCTCCAGGAATGAAAGAATATTAAGAGAACTGTGTAACCAATCCAAATGGAACAATATTTGCAATACAGGGGTACCAGAAGAAAAAGAGAGAGAAAAAGGGATAGAAAAGAAATAATTGCTGAAAACTTCCCCAAACTGGGGGAGGAAATAGTCTTTCAGACCATGGAAGCCCACAGATCTCCCAATACAAGGGACCAAAGGAGGACAACACCAAGGCATATAATAATTATAATGGAAAAGATCAAAGACAAGGACAGAGTATTAAAGATTACCTACAAAGGAAATCCCATCAGGCTTTCATCAGACTTCTCAACAGAAACCTAACAGGCAAGAAGAGAATGGCATGACATATTTAACACAATGAAACAGAAGGGCCTTGAACCAAGAATACTGTATCCAGCAATGATTATCATTTAAATATGAAGGAGTGATTAAACAATTCCCAGACAAGCAAAAGTTGAGGGAATTTGCCTGCCACAAACCAACTCTACAGTATATTTTTAAGGGAATGCTCTAGATGGAAGCATAACTAAGGCAAAGTAGATGTCACCAGAGAAAACAAAATCACACCAAAGAAAACAGACCAACCACACACTAACTAAAGGCAAAAAATAAAATCAACCATTCACAAAAGCAGTCAAAGGACACACAAAAGAGTACAGAATAAACACCTAACATATAAAGAATGGAGGAGGAAAAATAAGAAGGGAGAGAAATAAAGAACCATCAGACTGTCTTTATAATAGCTCAATAAGCGAGTTAAGTTAGATGGTTTGATAGTAAAGAAGCTACCCTTGAACCTTTTTGGTAACCACGAATCTAAAGCCTGCAATGGCAATAATCACATAATTTTCAATAATCACCCTAAATGTAAATGGACTGAATGCAACAATCAAAAGACACAGAATAATAGAATGGATGAAAAAGCAAGACCCATCTATACGCTGCCTACAAGAGACTCACCTTAAACCAAA